CCAGAGACAAAATCAACACTCAGCATCATTTCCATTCTTTAAACAAAAATGAACAATCCTCAAATAAAATAATGAAAATAGTTCCATTTACAATAACATCAAAAACACTAGATACATAGGATTAAACATATTAAGGTGGAAGATGAATACACTGAAAACTACCAAAGATTTCTTAAAGTAAAGAAGTAACAAATAACTGTAAAGGCATCCATGTTCATTGATTCCAAGACCAACAACTATCTACATATTTGAAACAATCCTAATCAAAATCCCAATTACATTTTTTCAGAAATTAAACAAGTCCATCCCAGAATTTATGATGAATTTCAATGGATCCCAAATTTTTACAACAATCTTAAAAAGGATGCATTGAAATTGGACGTCTCACTGTTACTAATTTCAAATCCTACTACAAAGGGAAAGTAACCAAAATAGTTACACTGGTATAAAGACTTCTATTTGTCAAAAGAAACAATCAAATGATTTTGATAAAGAAGCTAAGACTGTTCAATGGAGATAGGATTATCTTTTGAACAAATGCAGTTGAACAGCAATATCTACATACACAACAATTCAGTCAAAATGGATTGAATCCGAAAGCTAAGAACTAAAATTATAAAACTCTTAGAAGAAAACATAGGGGTAAGCAGTATGGCATTGGATTTTGCAGTGATTTCTTGAATATTAAACTGGAAACTCACACAAGAAAAGATTAGATAATTTAGATTTTTGTCAAAATGGAAAACTTCTGTTCATCCAAGGACACAATCAACAGAGTGAAAGGTGATCTGTGGAATGGTAGAAAATCCTCTGCAAATAATTAATAGGATGAGGGGTTAATATCCAGAATATATGAAGATCTCCTACAACTCAACAACAGCAACACCAAATAAACTGATCTATAAAATGGGCAAACCTCGTGAATACACATTATTCCAGAGAAGATATACAAATGGTCAATAATCCCAGGAAAATGTGCTCAACATCACTATCATTAGAAAAATATAAATCAAAACTCTCAAAGTTATTGCTTGTGATATTGAGTGTGGGTAACTCCACTGAGCAGGTAACAGGAGAACACTGCCCTGTGCGACACTTGAGTCCTCCAAGCCTTCTTCAATCAGTGTTGGCACCTCTCAACTCTCAGCCAACTTAAAGGAATGAGGCAGGTCTATGTATCACAAGACAAATGCCTGGGGATCTGAGCCCTCAGAGAACTTAAATCCTCTATGTCTGGGAGAAAGCACAGCCTTTCTCAAAAGCAAAGACTGTTCCATGGAGAAAGGACAGTCTTTTCAACAAATGAAGGGAACCATTCAATAGATTTGCCACATTTGGTTGTGGAAAAACAGAGAACCTAGAGTTAAGACACCTCCTGCCCCCCTAATCCTCCCACACCTCTCCTAGTTCTTCACTGAACAGCTAACTACAATTTTTTCTAGCTGCTCAGACCTTCATTGCCCAGCCGAGGTGTGTTTCTAAGAGCCACCATTTCCCAGGACATCTTAGAGACTCATATTGGAGCAAAAATAAAAGGGGGAACCAGGATCAAACCTGTGGTCAGTTGACTACTCAGGCCCCGGGGCCAAGAGGAGGGTCAGGCCTTCCCAGGTGAGTGTGACTGACATGAGCCAGTGAGCCAATAAATGATAGAGCAGAGCCCAAGGAATGAGCCAGAAAGGAGTGAAGGGACAGGCAGGATCTGATTGTGTCAGCAGAACCATATGCTTTGCCCTTGGTCATTAAAGTCATTCTCCCTCTGCGAAGGGCAGGTGAGGCTTGTGCAGATGCAGAAGGGGTGATGAATGGCAAGAGG